GAAGGATTTACATGTTACAATTAATTATCTTTTGTATATAACAATTTAATCTCTAAAATACAAAAAAAATAGCACTTTCATTGATGTTCGTTAACCATCTTTATGATTTAGGGGCTGTTTGGTAACATATTGGAGGGGGATTTAACTTAAATCTCGTCCGAAAAAAAATTGGCAAATATTTGCTTCTGAAGTTTAAAAAATGTGGTTGTCACAGTCTTCCTTTAAACAATTTTGCCAAACAGGGGTAGAATTATCTTTTTCCCAGGAAACAACTATTTTCACACAGTTGCACCAAACAGGTAGTCAGCTTTCCCGCAGCAGCTTTCTGGTGCAGCGTAGCTGCAGCTGCAACTTAAAAACTCAAAAACTGAGAAGCTGCACCTGCCCCAAACAGAGTCTGAGTCAATCTGTCAACAAATACCCACATAACATCACGAGAATGTCGTGACCTGACAATCCAATCACAAAATACATAGCAATCTCCTCCCATTTCCACTTTGGAATCAGTAAAGGCTGTAACCAACTTCTAGAAAGCTAATGTTTTACCTTCACTAGATGACATGTAGGACACATAGAAACAATTCTGTTCCACAATCCTCTTCAATCCGACCACTAAAATATTTCGTTGAGATTTTGGTACATTTTACTCCTCCCTAGGTGAATAATATTGTCAGACAAATGCGTCTATTGAATTTCCCTCAGATTATCAACATCTGGAACATAAATCCTACCTTTATATTTCAATAAGTCATCCAAGTATAACACATACCTCTCCAAACATATTGCCTTAATCTGCTCCAAGTTTTTCTGAATCCTCGACGTCGCTGCCTCCTTCCCCCTCTTCCACTACAAGTGAGCACGACGTCACTGCATCCTTGACTAGGGCTCGACTTGACCCAACGCAATGCCTATTACCGCACACCCACGCCCCACCTCCTTCAGGTTCTTCTCCCCTCCCGCCTTCCTTCACCATAGATAAGCCGCTCGACTATACAGGTAAGTCGTTCGATAATTTATAGGGCGAACATCACCTTTTTGGCTTCCCGACTCTCTCACTCTCCCCACCACTAGGGAAGCCTTTGCTGAAATTAGAAAAGAAGTATGAAGAAACTCATGATTGTAGGAAGTATGGATTCACCTCGCACTGAAAGCTCTACCTTGTACGCACACAAATCTTCCAATGAGTCAAGCCGAAGAAGAATCATCCCTTTGTGAACATTGCAAGAAACATGGTACACAAAGGAAAAGTGCTGGAAACTACATGAAAAATCTACAGATTGGAAACCTGGACATGCCCAATGCCCATACTGCCACTTCTGAAGGGTTATTCAACTCTAATACCTTCACCAAAGAACATCTAGAGGTGTTGAAGAAACTTCTTTTTAGCACAAATGGGTGGCTTGCCAGCTTGATGATGCTCTGATGTACCATATCATCCTATCTCGCTAATAATAGAAGATTTCGATCTTGGATAATACATTAGGGTGCTTCTGATCACATGACTGGAGATATCCATGCTCTCACCGGCTACCAAGGGTTCACCACCTCCAAATTTGTTAGACTTGCTGATGGATCTCACTCCAGGATTGCTAGGAAAGAAGTGAAAGTCTCCAATGCTATGTAGTTTTCTTCTGTGCTATATGTTCCTCAATTAGATTGCAACATACTTCTTATTAGCAAGCTTAAGCATGACTTGAACTGTGTTGCTAAATTTTATTCCAACCCTTGTGAAATTCACGTGGTGGACTCAAGGAAGGTGATTGATAGTGATGAATTGCATCAAGGTCTATACCAACTCAAGAATAATTATTCTCTTAAAACAGGTGTCTTCTCCACCATTCTCGTCCCATGCTTTTGAGTTTGTTGTGTCCAAGTCTGTTGAAAGTTAAGTTTTATTATGACAGTCATTTGGTTCATCCAAATTTTAATTATGTTAGGGTTGTATTAATGTGAAACCTACCAATTGGCTAAAAATAATCTTCATGTCTATCCTCTGTCTCAATACAAACATCACATCCATTCTCTATCATCCACAATAACATTTGGGGACCTTCAAAAATAAAAAATCAATAATGGAGTTAAATGATTTATCTCTTTTATTGATGAACACACTAGAACCAATTTAATATTTCTCGAGGAGAAATTTGAAACTCACAAATCTTTTAATCATTCCATAGCATGATGTACACTCAATTCCAAGTTCCAACATAAGATTCATATTCTCAAAAATGATAATGCAAAGAAATACTTCAACTATATTATTGGAACCTACCTTGCAAAGACTAGGATCATTTATGTGAGTTACTATATTGAGACCCCACAACAAAATGGGATAACTGAGAAAGAATAAACATCTCCTATCTAGATCAATAATGTTTTCCCATAATGTTCAAAAAAATTTTTTGGGAGATATCATGCTCACAATCACTTACTAGATTAATAGAATGTCAAGCAGGGTCATTGAATTTAAAACTCTTCTTGATGTTGTGATGGAAAAATACTCTCATGTCATAGTTTTCTCATCTAATCTTCAACTAAAAATATTTGGTCGTCTCCTTTGTTCACCTTCACCAACTAAACTGCACAAAGCTTGACCTAAAGTCCAAATGTATCTTCCTTGGGTATTTCTAACAAAAAGAGTACAAGAATTATTCTCCCATTACAAGAAAATACTATAGCTCTATGGATGTGACTTTCTCTGAAAAATAAGCGTGGTGCAGTCTGCGCAAATATCAAACTCAAGACACGATTTTGAATACACACATTGGTCTAAAAGTCACCACAATCAATTCTACTTCTTTCTAATCACCCCGTCTGTCAAGTTTCACTATTTGAAGATATCCAACCTGAGATTGACAATAAGGAGCTTCGTGTTGCACTAGGAAAAAGAAATCCACTGAGCAGGAAAAAGACAATATGCAACCAATGAATTGTTCACAACCAAACCTGAATCTGCAAATCTCTAAAGTTCCAAGGGAGGTGGAGTTTGGTGGAGAAGATGACAAAAGTTGCACAAATTATCATATCTAGAAGTATGTTGCCTAGAGAAAATTATCAACTTTTATATCTAATCTCAATAGAGTACATATACCCAAGTCTATTCATGAAACATTTGAAAGTCCAAAATGGATAAAGACAATTAAATATGAGATCCAAGCACTTGATCAAAATGACAAATGAACCTTAACAAAATTTCCTCCAAATAAAAATCTCATTGGGTGCAAATGGGTATTCAATGTAAAGTACGAGCATATGTTTGCACTGAGAGGTTCAAGGCTAGGTTGGTGGCCAAAGATTTTAGTCAGTCTCATGGGATATACTATCAAGAGATATTTGCACCAGTAGTCAAGCTAAACACTGTCAAATTTCTTTCCTCAATGGTGAACAAAGAGTGAGAACTACATCAACTTGATATAAAAAATTCCTTCTTGAATAAAGATCTTGAGGAAGAATTGTATATGCAGATCCCACAAGGGCTCGAAAATGGCTCAAAAAACAATTGGTTTATAAACTAAGTCACTTTATGGCCTCAAACAAACTCAATAAACTTGGTTCGACACGTTTGCCAACACTTGGAAATCTAATGAGTACATCCAATGCTAAGTGAATCATACACTATTCATAAAACATATACAGGGAAGTAAGAAAGCTTTTACTCATTATTTATGTAGATTTATGATCCTGATAGGTCATGATTAGAAAGAGATTGGGAAGATTGAGAAGGTTCTTGCCACTAAATTTGAAATCAAGACTCTATGAGCTATGACATACTTTATGGACATGGAAATGGCCTGGTCCAAAATTGGGAATTGTGATATCTTAAAGGAATCTTAAACCTGCTAAAAGAGAGATGAATGTTGGGGTGTGAACCTGTTGGGACTCCTATGAAATTCAACAAAAGATTACATACATGGGAAGAAAAGACATAAGTAGAAAAAGGTAGGAAAACTTATCTACTAGTCCCATACGACCACACTAGACGGGATATCGCTTATTCTGTCAGCATTGCGAGTTAACATATGAATGATCAAAATGAAGAAAATTTGAAAATGATTTACAAAATATATAAATTTCTTAAGAAGTCAGAATCAGACAATAGGGAGGTAGATGTTTACACTGATACTAGTTGAGCAAGAAAACTGACCGACAAAAAATCCACATCTGTGTATTGCTCCTATGTGTGGGGAAATCTTGTCACATGAAAGAGCAAGAAGCAAGCGACAATCTCTCGAAGCAGTGCGAAATCCAAGTACAAAACACTCGCTTTGGGAATTTGTGAAGGAATGTAGATCCAAAGGATACTAAATGAGTTAAGATATTCTACGATCAATCCCATAAAAATATTCAGGGATAGCCAAGCTGCCGCTAGAATTTCAAAGGATCATGTGTATCCTGACCAAACACATTGAGATTGATAGACAGTTTCTCTCAAAAAGTCAATGGTGGCATTATTTACTTGATCAATATTCCAACTCATCATCAAGTTATTGATGTATTCACTAAAGCTCGACCTCCGGACAACTTCAATGAGTTGAATGCCAAGTTGGGCCTTTATATGACCTAACTTGAGGGGGAGGGAGTGCGGAATTTTGAGAAAATATAGAAAGATTTGATTATAAGTAATTTAGGAAACTCTTTGATGGGTTTTATTTTCTTCCTATTTACGTTTCTTTCCTTTCTATGTTTAGGGTTGATATATTTGGTTAGTTTGTAAATTAAGAAGGATAGTTGGCCTATATATATGTAACCTCATAGTTAAAAATTGTGAATAACATTTCAAAAATAATTCTCTCCTTAGTTTTCTTTACCAAGCTTAATCTTCCAGTAAAACTTGCATATTCCTAATAAAAACTTTCTTAAATACAACGCCACTTTAGAGACAAAACGAAGTCTTTTTTTAAACATTTTTTAGCAGATAAAATAAGAAAGAAATAAGACTAGCTGATAGCAAATAAAGTTATTTGGTCACCATGTCAGCAAAGGGACAGAATTTTATATACCTTGCATTTATCCCACAAAGAAGGTAATAGTTCTTCGGAAGTCAAGTTCTTCTGTAATTTCCTATACATGGCATTGATCAACTTGTCAACCTACAAATAGTGGACCAAGAAAAAGAAATTTAAATACAACACTCAGAAATAAAAATAAAAAAAACAGCGTGATAGATTTGTTATTACTCCTGATAGACTGGATTTTATCATCTTTCTAAGATCCATCTTTGATAAGCCAAGCTGAAAGGGAATCTGCATAATCAAAAGCTGAAGTTAGTCAGACTTGGAGACTACAATCAGCCCAAGCGGCTTGCCAAGAATCTGTGAAGATGGAAATATAATGACAACAGGGGCCCAAACTATAGAAGAAATGGAATAACAGAACTGTAGAAAGATTATGAAAGTCATGAAAGAAACATCGTAAATCTTCATAGCGCTGTTTGAAATTTAATGATAACCAAACGATTTGTGCTCTTTCCATGTATATCATGTAACTAAGTTAGCATCTACGATTTGTGCTCTTTCCAGCTATTATATTTTTGTGCTCTTTCCATGTATATCATATTGGCTGATTATTCAGCCAAATCAGCTGGTAAAGACTAAATTTCCCATAGGCTAACCACAATAAGTAAAGTCAAATAAGGCTACAAATGAACTATACCATAACGGTTTTTAAGGATTTTTTAAACCTCTTCAATTTTAGCCGAATTATCATTTAATTTATTTAATTGTTAATTGTAGTAAATATAAAAAAGTCACATCTTTATTCAGAAAATAAAAATGAGGATAATAGTATCCCTATCTTTATGGAGTTCTAGATCATTAAGTGACGAATAAACAATTGAAAAGACCAATTATGATGGTCCTTCACTTCCTCATTTGATTTAAGCTATGTAAATGAATGACTTCAAGTTGTATACATAGATTCATCTATTTTACTTGTTTTCTTAATGTTCCTTCCCTAGGTTCCAAGCTCCACATCAAATTGATATCAATGCCAAGTTTCAATTCTAGGATTAGAGTATTACGGGCTCACCATGTTTCTAGAGATTAGGCGAGCCTTTGTAATTCCACTTTGTGTCCATCAATCATTCAAAAAAGGCTTGTCTTTCCATCTGGTCAAAAAAATTAATGACTCAGATGCATCCCAGCCATGGGAATGTCCCGTCCAAAAGAGATGAGATGGGATTTAAAACGATTTAGGTATGGTAACGGGCAATATGAGAAGAATGAAATAAGTGAAATTTCAAGTAATTTAATTTTATTTCAAGAGAAAGTAGATATAAATTTAATATACATAAATCATGAGACTTAATTGGATTGATTAGTAAACATTAAATAAATAAATAAATATAAAAATTATAATAACATAAGTCTTATAAGTTTTTATTAAGTGATAACAAGAAAATATTATAGAGTGACAAAATAATAAATGCTTATTGAATATAGTCATTCATGTTACGTGGTTTATCAAGGAATGTAGCTTGAACAGAAATAGGACTTCTGACTATTCTAAAAAAATGGGTAACTATATTTCAATCTTACAGTAATTCTTTCTGATTTCCTCAAATCAACTATAAATATGATATAATTTAATTTTTACATATATTAAAAAAGTTTTTGAGCACATGAATATTTAGGCCTTGGGATCAATTTATTGAATATATATATATATATATATGAAAAGCCCAAGGGCTGATTTTATTATATATATATAACCCCGGATGATAGCTGGAGTAGCAACATACCATGCAAGCAAATAGAAATGACTGCCTACATTTTTAGGCTGGTTTTGAAAAAGGTTACCTTTATTGTACGCATAGACAGTGAATCTTGTGATAGATGTCTTATATACGAAACAAACAAAAGTAACAATAGAACTGAGTCATTTATTATTTCAATTTACTGTTTTGCTCTTGACTGCTCATGACATATGAATATATACTGCTATACTCAAGCATAAAATTTTCTTAATCCGTAAATTATTATAATTTTGAAATATATTTAACCACTGAGTTGTTTAACTCATACTAGAGTTATTAAATATTTTCAGGTAAATTTTATTTAGAATGAATGGATAATAAAAATTATATCTGCAGATGTCGAGATCTACAGACATCGAGGAGCCACATAAGATAGGTAAAATAATAAAATTCTTATATATCAGTTGTACAAGTTCTAAATTTGAATGAATTTTTGTTTAAGTAAATCTTTGGATCAAGTTGGTACTTTTATGATTTGAAAACTCTTAAATATTCACACCAAATTTGTAAGAAAATATGTTTAGTCAGGAATTTTTTCGCCCAACCATTTGTTCCCGTCTCAATATGCCAAGCTTCCAAGCCGGGTCGTGATATCCATGATTTCATTTGCCTAAAAAATGAAGCATTATTGATTATTTTATTCATTGCCAACAAAAAATTGTCATCTGTTTAGTAGTTTCACACTTTATGACAGCTTACTTACAGTATTCTAGTATTTTGACATTGAATCTTTATATACTCATTACCTTGTAATTTATGTAATGAGCTGAGAGATTAACTTAAGAATCTGTGAGATTCTAAGATTAAATGTTCACAGCTGAAAAGACTAAGGACCATTTTGATCATTTACTTGTCACAATTCATCTGATGATTAGAAGTGAATTAAAAATTAAACAGGGTAATTGGAAAAATGAGTCCCTCCAACGAGGAGAAAAAGGTGAAGTGGCGGCATAAGCAAATATGAAAAAAGAAAATTACTTCAAAAAAAAAAACGAAGTAAGAATATACAGATGGAAATTCATTATCATTATCTCACCTCCTCAGGAGTAATGGTGTACATTAAATCCTCAATTTTCCGATGGAACTGAAATAATCTTTCAAATTGCTGCAACCAAACAAAGATATTCACTTGGCACAAAGTCAGTATCTAAACAACATAAAATCCAAAAAACTGTTTATGGGAAAAAATAGAAATAAAAATAAACAAATTACAATAGGATGAAAGAAACATATACTTACAATGTAAATAATCATATTGATATGCCGAGTACAAGCTTGCTCATAAGATTCACTAGCTTGATGGTAGAATTTGGCAAGAGTGGGCACCACATTGGCTAGATCATAAAGACTGCAAGACAAACAAAACTTGCATCAGGAATTAGCACTAGGGCATAGATTTTGGATTTTACGAGTATTAACTATGAATTAAAAACTGTCAACAGTGAGTAATCAGCAAACATAACAGAATAAACTGAAAATAAGAATAACCTGTTCTGGAAGGCTGCATAGTTTTCTAAAAGTACAATATCAGCATATTTTGGATCAGCTTGTGCTATCTTCTCCAAAGTCGAAAACATTATGCTAACCTGCTCCAAAAATAACAACAATTTTTCTCACAAATTGGGAACTGACGCACATTATTATCAGCCATACATGAACTGTCACGCATAGAAGGGGTCCATAAAAAGATATACAGAGAAGCAGAGAGAGGCAAGAGGTCTATGTTTCCTAACTTACCCAGGATGACGCAATTGATGTAAAACACAAAACTAAAGTATGATTTGTAACACAAAAAATCATTAAATACACAAAAGCTTTGCTTTCTTTCAGAGTAAACTCAAAGTAAAGGAAAAACAAACAAAAGGATGATGAGAAAATTAAAAAAAAAAAAAAATCAAATAAAACAATGAAATTATTGAACCACAAAAAATCAGATGGCAAATGCTCCTTTTCTTTTTTTAACTGCGAATGAAATTCCAATTGGGGCAAATACGACAGCAATCAAACACTTTTCAATACCAATAACAAATATTTTGGTAAGAAATAGACTAAAGAACCAGATCCCCAGTAATACTTAACCTTTACTTAATTTAAAAATATACCCAATTTTTCACTTCCCCGAAATCCACCTGAACTATTTTTATAAAATTCAACATTTTGTGCGATCAAATTAATATATAGCACCATAGAAAAAATATTAATATATTTTGAATTAAGAAGTTCAAAATAAAAACGTAATTAATCTTAATTAATAACTTAATTAACTTAACTGATCCATGTTAATCACTCTGGGTAGCAATCCTGGTTAGGGCATGCAACGGGATAGAAAATAAATGGATTGGATTCACTGGGTGGGTGGATTAATCAAATGTATTTATTACATTTATATATGAATATATTTAATGAGCTCTTAATCCCTCCCAATCTGTGATTTCATCCACCATTACTGATCCTGTTCACGCTCTGCACATTTCCACATGCGATCTGGTTCTTGAACAATAGTAAGCCTGATACCAGAGTTAACCCAAAAATGAATAGGAAAGTAGATTTTATTATGCAAAAGCAACGGAATTATAATCAAGACCTTAAAAAATAAAAAATAAAAAACATAACACAACAAAACACATATATCCTGCTAAGGTGAGGCAGGACAGCTGGTGGAACGGCGGCGAGGTGGCTGGGAACAGTGGACAGCAGGCTGGCTGGGAACAGTGGACAGCAGCCTAAAAGAGTACAGGAGAGGGTGTAGCTGTGAGCAGGAGGGTGCAGGGAGGTAGGCGGCAGCAAGGGGAATGGTGCAGAAAGGTGTGGCAGCGGCCAGGGGGTGCAAGGAAAGGATGGCGACAAGAAGGTAAAGGGAAAAGATGCAGAAATAAGATGAGGTAATCACCATCATAGAGCAGGATAAAGCTGGAATACAACCTGTTATACAATCCTAACAATGGAAAAGACGTGGACGACAAAAAACACTGAAGTTAAAATTGAACCCTAATCAAAGAAAAAATAACATGTGTGTGTGTGTAAATATATTTTTTTTTCTTTTTAAAGGAAATCAATATTTAACAGATTTCTCATGCGTTTTTTAGCCCCATGATGAGAGCCCGGGCCATGTGTCTAAAATTCCAGAGCCCCGCGCCACGGTGATATTGAACTCTTGACCTGAGGGGACTTACAGTGACCCCGCCACCAACAGGCCAAGACTTGCTGCACACACACACACACACACACACACAGACAGACATATATA